CTACTGAGACGGTCACACATGGGGCCTCCGGCAACCGTGTGCCGGCTCGCTCAAGTGGACACCAGCCTGCTCTCTGTCACTCGAATACACGTGCTCAAAGTCCAGCACAGTGAATAATAGTTCACACACACACCGAGACATGACAATCACAGCATCTGCCCATGTCAACTGGTTTCCGTGCTGGCGGCCCCAGGACCCGTCAATCAAAGGGATCGTGTCCTGCACTGTGAAGAAAAAGTATGTCTTCCATCTGAGCAACCACTGGATCAGTTCGTATCTTGTTTCACAGACTTAGCAGGCTTAAGTACTGGGGAAAAGATAATTCACCTGATGGAGTGGCCATAGAACTGGACTGTCAATTCCGCTAAATAGGAAAGCCCAACGCACCGAATTTGACGCTATTAAGGTTGATTATAGCTGGAAACGCCAGCTTAGACATTCTCGGTGCTCCAACACAAGGGGCTCTGAACGAAGCTTTATCAAAAAATTATCCATAGGGATCTTTATTTGCCTCTCCCCCCTCCCAACCTCCGGCCGGCAGGGAAATAGGGACGTTCAGAAATACAGGTGACTTTGAGCTAAAGTCCGGAGAAAATTGGACGACGTGTAACGTTATGATTATGGTAAGGACACGGAAATATGTACCTTACCCGACATGCAGCGCAACGCCACTTGTATATGAGTTGGGAATAGCGTTCCTTTTCCCCTCTTCTGTGGAGGAGTCACATAACAGATTCTGACCCAATAAAATCAGTTGGATCACAGTTGGGTCAACTGAATTATTCAAATCTGCCAAACCCTCTTAATAATTAACTGAGCCTAGTAGTCATTCTGGTGGATTCTAGATGACTGCTTAGGAAATCCTGCCTGGGCAGTCAGCTTACTCTATCCCCGTAATGGTGGATTCCATTCAAGCAGTTAGTTGGGCGGGTAAATCGATCCAAGTGTGATTAAATTCATGGCTCACGGTGAGCCTCATAGCTCAATGGTAGGGCAATGGCTGCGCAAAAATCTTCCCTGTTGTGTGCGTTTGACTCCCACCGAGGCCGGGACATTTTCACAATTGGGTCAACTGAATTATTAAAATCGGCCAAACCCTCCTAATAAAAACAAAAGAGTTGAGAGTTCACTAAGCGTGGCCAGAGGTCAGCGGGGTTAGCAGTATACTAAAGGGACCTACCTGGGCTTGAAATGCTGTCTGCACTGTTGTGTTATATCTGAATGAAGGCATATCCAGTGTTGGATTTAGTAGTAAGGCTACTTCAGCCACTGTGCTATATCCCATCTTCGGGTAAGCTGATCTACTATGCCTCAAGTGCATAGTAGACGGGGGTAGTTAGAGGGCGAGAGAGATAGTGATGAAGAAATCGAAAGAAGAAGCGTGCTTACACCAACGCAGGTCCACCTCACACTATAATAAAACTTACGCGTAGTAAAGTATAGCAATGCATTGAAAGCCACGATGTTAGTGACTGTAAATCAACTGTATAGCTTTGTCCTCCACGGACTGAGATTTACTTTGCAATTTTGGTTCTTAACGTGAACTTTAAGACAAAGTTCTTCGACGAGAGACCAAAGAACCTCTCTCTCTCTCTCTCTCTCTCTCTCTCTCTCTCTCTCTCTCTTTCCCTCCGGTTAATGTGCGTGGCAGTCAGCATATGTTCGGTCCTGCATCCGTGACCATCGTCAGTCGTCCACATCTAGCATTATACTTCGAGAATGCTGGGTGTGGGAAAAAGGGGGCGAGGCGAACACAGCAAAATCAACTCTCACTGCCAACCAGTTCACGTGTACGTCAGTGCACACCTTCAAACAAGTGGCGGTTCTTGCTTCCTATGATGGACGAAGCAAAAAGGAGAACTGAACGCATCGCGTGGGTCAATTGTAATATTTGGGGCGCTACTCAGAAGATGCATCAGTCCAGACTCTATTCAAAGTAATAATTCTGAGAACAGATGAATGCTACCGACAAAGACAAGGCAGGTTGAAATCGTAATTTCTGGTTTATTAGCTGTCATCAGCCAGCCCGATTCAACCCCGGGTGGTAAACCACCCGAGGTTCAAACCCGCAGTCTGTTGATTGGAGGTCCAACGCTCTGTCCATTGAGCCGTGGGCTCCTTGACTTGCTTGTTTAGCTCATAAAGAAAGTGGAATTAAATATGCATATGCCAGTTTTCTAAGACTCTCTTCCCCTATATGAAAACATTGTTTCAATGAGTTCTTTCCACTTACTATGAAGTAATGAGGCAAAATTTGAATATATCTTTATTTCCAAACCAAGCCTGGAAATAATTCGAATGGTTGAAGCATTCTGCATTCAGTTATACCGCCGTTAGCATAAACTGGCCACAATTTTGCCAAAATCAGCTTCCGGAAATTTGACAAACCATATTTTTGTTATGTGGACATATTGAGGTTTATCCCGTTTTTTTTTCTACTACGAACTTGTATTCGTTCATTCGCAGTCAGACACTCATTTTGAAAGTGTGATAGCTGAAAGAAACGGGTTATTCAGAAGCGATCGCTGAAAATCTGTGGTGTCCAGCGAACACTTTTTATCCTTGTCTAGGTTCGCTTAGGCTCTTCCCTTCAGGCAGAAACGACTCCCACGATCGCTCAAATTGCATTTACTGATTCAATTTCACGTAATATACAGTGGTGGTTTAGCACAGTCTGGCTTTAAAAACACTATGAGAATACCATAGGCCTCTGTTCATTTGGGTTCCACGTCGTAAGCCAACCATCCAATGCGCATGCTGTTACGTCTTCCGCTCTTCAGACTACCCTGTACTAGAGACCTTATGTGATTTGACTGTCAGCAATTTGCGCCCTAGGTAAGCGCGCTTCTAAATGCTGAAATCAGTACCATTTTTGCTTAATTCACAAAAATAGAATGAAGTGAAGCAGGCGAGTTTGCTTATCAATAAGACAGATCGCAATTACGAAAAAAGAGCAAAACTATGCTTCGGACACCTGATGATCATGGTTCAGATCAAGGGAACTTCGTCGGTTTGGCCCACTCCCCACAATCGTCCCCTACTTCTTTTTGGTTCTCGTCTGTATGCGTAAAGTCTTTACGTGCGTACAAGTGAGCACTACCAGTTTGGTAGTCGCCGAGTGACTGTTGAGCATGCATGCTATGTTTATTCCGGACAGGCGGAAGCTGAAGTGTTTCCCCCGACTCTTGGTAGTGGTGGACGGTACTTAAGTGGGGACTCGAGCATTTCCCGTCGTACTGAATGAGACTGACTATAACTGTGCTAAAACGCGTCCCGCCCTACTTGCGCCAAACGTGCTGATTAGGACCGATCGAGACTAGCAGGAGGGCGTCGTGCGTGCCTTCACTGTCCTCACTGCCAATACAAGCAAACGTGCGAGTCCCAGGAAGTACTTAAGAAGAAGATTCGATCACTGGGACAACACTTTTATTCGCCTGACGTTTCGACATCCATCACACATTCTTCATCAGAGGCGTGAACAGAAAGCAATAGCAGAAACGGGGAACATATGAACAGGAATTTGTAGCATTTATAGGACATAGTCATTACTGCAAACGTGTAACGACAATTAACGATAATTACCCTCTTATGGGTTGATAGCTTGTTGACTGGCATGCGGGCTCTGGCTTGCTGAACTTTCATCACGCGTGGTGAACTCGGGTGTGATGATTGCTCGGCCAGCTGGTCCTCCGGTGACTATGTCCTATAAATACTGTAAATTTCTGTGCGTATATTCCCCGTTTCTGCTATTGCTTTCTGTTCATGTATCTGATGAAGAATCTGCGACCGATGTCGAAACGGCAAACGAATAAAAGTGTTGTCCCAGCGATCGAATCTTCTTCTTCTTCTTCTTCTTCTTCTTCGTCCTCTTCTTCTTCTCAATGTCCCCACTGTTCGCCTCTTCGACCATTCCAGCAAACCAGCGGTTGAGATGGGGTGGGCGCCGTTTCCGGTATAAAGGGGGGGGAGGTGCACTGTTTGGCTGTCTCGGGCTCTTGATTGCAATTTGAATGGAAGAAGATGGAGGGCGTGGGAACTGGATTGGCGGCGCCTTGGAATTTGCTAGGAACGTGGGCTGTCTGGGTAAAAAAGGAGGCGGACAGGCCAGACAGTCGAACTTCTAGACAAATAATAAAGAAGAGAAACAGGCAACCACGTGGGATTACTGGACGGCTTTAGTTACTGGCTGCAAACCCAGGTCACCACCTATGAAAGACGTGACGCTTGTAATGCTAAACCGCCTTTGTTTAGTAAATGAAGCTGGAAGTGTCAGGGAACGGAAGCCCTAAAACGGTCGCAAAAAGAGAAGGACTTGATTACTATATTTAAATAGATAAAGAGATTCGCCGTCCCGTTTCATATTCCTAAATATATAAGGTGAGTATAGGTATGCAAAAAATCAAACTCATAATGACAAATATCTTACGGTGTTTTAGACTACATTTTTGGAAGGGAAGGGACTGTAAGATCATCACGAACATCCCTGGGGAGGTTTAGATACATCAGCTTAGATGTCAAGTTCGCTTCCTTTTTCGGAGTCATTCCCTGAATTATAGTGTTTTGGGGGGATAAACCTGCTGAAATGGCGGTCCCCGAACGCGTTTAAAGGACGTTCGGGTCTCCTGTCCAGTAATCGATCATGACAACGGTAGGTTATGTAAACCCTCAGATCGTGTAAAACGGAAATGGTGCTAGGAGGGGTTTTATTGGTGGGACCTCAACCAGCGAAATTAGTATAAGAAAACATAAAAAGTAGATAAATTTCCACCAAATTTATTCTTCTACGTCTACAGGTAGCATCAAAATTTAAAGGGGTATTAAAGACGAAACAAAAAGCAACCCTTAGCCAATAAAATTACTTTAAATAACAAAAGTCACAATAAAACTGATTTTAAAATGCTGTTATATGAATGTAATAGTTAATACGCCGAGGGTTACTGCCCGTAGATATGAAATAAGCCAACACAGGCCCGGCCATGTATCTGAAACCCAGGGCTTTGCATAACCTATCCTTACCATAATTACCAGACGAACAAGTTATGAACGGCGTCTCTTCTGTCTGCTGCGATGTTGTTTGGGTTGATGGTGTGTGTCTCTTCCACTCCCACTCCCACCCCACCTTTCCCCACCCCCGCCTTTTCCTATGTGTCCATATCTACTTCTGTGGGTCGAGCAATGCCCCGGGGACTGTGTGGCCTCTCTAATGAGCCGCTGACACGCTGTGTAGTCAAGCCAAGTGAACAACGTTCACTCGGCCACCTGCTGGTCACGCAAACACAAAGGATCGTTTGCAGGAGGGATATCTGCGAGGGGAGGACGAGTCCACCGGGAAATGGGTCGAGGAGGCACCTCATATATGCCTGCCTGAGTCAGTTAATGAACTGCATGCTCTGGGGACGGGTGCCAGTGACACACACATTTTCGCGTAAGATGCCATTATTTCAGGCACTCTTGAACGTTTCGCCATACTTGTTGAACCATCTACACTTGTATCTCAAAAGACGTAGAGCTTCATTGATCATCTACGGTTTTACGTGTACATGTGGATTAGCCTATGGAGGAAGAAAATACTGTTTTACGAGAAAGGTCAAAAGAATAGGCCCAGTAATTCCATGGAGAGAGAAATTGCTTAACTTCGACTCCCTAGACCCCCCTTGTATATCATCAGAGATTTTAAAGTAGAAATCACTGCCTCTAGCCCTGTCCAGTCGATAAAACGGTCTTTTGCACTGCTGATGTGCGGGTGAGCAACTTTTTACTGGGATAAAGGCCAGTTACGCAAGCATGGATAATGGCAGCTAACATCTGTGAGGTACAATGAAAAAAGTTCTAGGAAAAATTGAGAGCCGTTCAAGCCCTTCTTGATAATGTCCGTTGCTTCCAATGACAAAACCCATAGCAGTCCAATATCACCTCCTTTGAACTCCGTGCCATCAGAAACGTGCTATAACAACCTGAACACTAACAGTTTCCTCCCGCTTGACGCGTCTGTTAGCAGCTGCACCCATTCTCTGCTGTAGTCCACCGACCGTCTCGTACAGCAGCTGGAGGTCTGATACTGGGGATAGACAGTGAGGTCGACGAATAAGTGCATCCAATGTATTTGAGGTTATCACGGTGGTTTGGTATTTTGCCAACTGACAGGATAACTCGAACTGCGCGGTCAGCCCGGCTTGTTGTGTGGCGGGGCTGACTGGTGGAGTGAGAGACAGGCTGCAATATCCTTCTTAATGCGGCCCCAGTGGCACTCTTACTTAGTGGATTCTGAGCCAGGTATAGTATCACGCCTAAGGGCGGCTTTGGCCGCGCCAGCGACCTGTGCCTTATCCCATCTCTGGTCTTCTTGGCTTGGTCATGACACTGGACTCAGGTGGGTGAGGGGAAGTGCAAGCGGCAGATACATCGTAAGTCTACTCTCAATATAATCTAGTTCAAGCGCAAATCACTGCGCTTGCTTCCAGCTTGGAGCAAGTTACGCAATGGACATCGTCGGAATTGACGGTAGAATTGTCAAGCGCAATGTGGAGTCGATTTACCCGCCCAACCTATTGCTCGTATGGAATCCACCACTACGGATAGAGTAAGCTGACTGCCCTAAGCAATAATCTGCAACCCACCAGAATGGCTACTAGGCTCACTTAATTATTAGGTGGATTCCGTACGAGCAGTAGGTTGGGCGGGTAAATCGACCCAAGTGTGATTAAATTCATGGCTCACGGCGAGCCTCAGTCAATAACATTTAATTGCCTGACAGATGACGGTGTGACCGTCATTTCCGACACTACGTACTGCGTGTCCCACATCAGGCTGGGCGCAGGGGCGATCACCTGTGATGACGTGAATCATTTTATAGCAATCCTAAGCTCTCGACGAATCTACCGCACTCTCTTCTCCGCCATCCACCTGGACAGAGTCAAAAAGACCGGACTCGGAATCGTGCATAGGTGGCTGCCGTAATGACAATTCGACCGTCGCCCTTGACGATGTCCACCGCGAGCTCCAGCAAGCTGAAGGCAGACACAGTGACTGTAGGTGGATTAAAGTGGCAGTAGACTCACAG